GGTACCCAAATTCTTTTGGGTCCATATTTATTAGTTTCCAAAATCCTAGTCCCCTTGGGTATCCATTTGTGTAGGATATCCTTATCTTTAGTAGTAATGAGCTCTTTAGGAACCCATATACTTCTAACGATTTTTCCATTAAAGGTTCTTTGGGGACCTCTATGATTGTAGTTTTTAAAACTTTTTCTAACAAAGTTGGATTTTGAATTTTATCCATTTTCAAAACGTTTGTTCCAACTTTATCAAAAGAAGCTTTAAGATCATCAATTTTCTTTTGATGATCATCATTGACCTTTGAAAGTAAATTTTGCAAATCCAAATTTTTCTTTTCAAACTCTTCTAGTTTGATTTGCAAATCATTTATTTTACTTTCAAGATCGTTGTTGGTTTTGGATATGAGTTTATTTTCATTTTTCAATTTTGAAATATCAATTTTATATTTTAAAAACAATTTCTCATAATCCGAAGCCAACCCATTATATTCCTCTAATAACTCATCATAGGATAAATCATCAAAATCAGATGAGTTAGAGGTTACCTTAGAATCTTCCCCGAATGCCATCAAGCACAAGTTTGCTACTTCTTGTTCCTCTTCATTGGAACCTTCTTCATCGCTCCATGTAGCCACATGAGCCTTGTGCTTATTCTTTGATTGACCATTTCTCTTCAATTGTGGGTAATCATATTTGACATGCCCCAGCTTTTTGCATTCATAGAAAATGATTGGGTCTTTCTCTTTTGGTCATTTTTTAGGCCTTCATTTCGTTTGAATTTTCTTCCTCGGTAAGGTCTCATCATTTTTCTGAACTGTTTGGCAAACAATGCCATTTCCTCGTCATCGTCATCTTCATCCGAATCACTCTCATCTTTTGTGGATTTGAGAGCAACTCCAATGTTTTTCTTCTTCTCCTTCTCCTTTGGTGTCTCTTCAATCTTATCAAGGTCCGCCTGATCTTCAAGCTTCATTTCATGAGTGAGGAGTGAATCGATTATCTCTTCAAGAGTTAAGGATGTTAGGTCCTTAGACTCAATGATTGTCGTCTTCTTTGATTGCCATGATTTTGAAAGGGAGTAAACTAACTTCCTCACAAGCTTTTATTTAAAATGATCTCTCCATATGATTTGAGACCATTGACAATCGTTAAGAATCTATCTGTCATAGCTTTGATATCTTCATTTGGTTTCATCCTGAAATTTTCATAGCAATGCGTTAGAATACTAATTTTAGATTTCTTTACCTCATCGGTACCTTTATGAGTGACTTAAAGTTTGTCCCATATTTCTTTGGTGGTTGTATAAGATGAAACTCTTTCGTATTCATCTGGTCTAAGAGCACAAAATATGATATGGATGACTTTGGAGTTGAGTTGGAATATTTTTGTCTCTCCTTCACTCCACAATCTTGGATGAGTGAGAGGCTTGATGTATCCTTCTTCTACAACATTCCATGCTCCCATGTCACTTGCTTGAATGAAGTACATCATCCTATTTTTTCAATAGGCATAGTTAGCCCCATTGAAGAAAAGAGGCTTGTTGACGGGTATCGAATCGAGACCGGAGTCAAAGCTTGAAGTAGAGGCCATTGATGACTTTGATTATCAATGAAACTCTTCCCGAATCGACTCAAGAGGCGATTAAACCTTCAAATGAGTTAGGCTCTGATGCAATTTTGAGTTAATCGATTGACGGAATCGGCAAGAGGGGGTGAATTGGCAATTAAAATTTTATGGAAGCTTTTACAGAAAATTGAAAGTAATTGCACAGCGATTTAGAGTGGTTCGACTTTATCAACCAAAGTCTACGTCCACTACCTTAGCTATCCACACTAAGGATTTTCACAAATTCACTAATTTTTTCTTTCTTTTGAGGCCAAAGAGATAACCTTACAACTCCCTCAAGAATATACCCCAATTCTTGAGAACACTCTTTTGTCAAAGAGAATATTACAAATTTGCAAACTCACAAGAAAAACCTCACAAGGAAAATATGTTTGCACAATTCTAGAACAAAGAAAGAATACTCAAGAATAAATACAATTGAGCACAATAAGTGTTCTTGAAAGCAAAATTAATATTGAATGAAAAATAGGCTTGAAATGCTCAAACTTGAGGTTTGATGCTTTCTCTTTGATTCTCTTGATTCTAGTTGCTTGAGGTTTCTTGTTATTGATCAATGCTTCTAAGTTTGTTTAAATATAGCTTGAATCACTTCTGAATGTTGGGGATCATTAATGAAGTTATTGTAGCCGTTTAAGTGTGAAAATAATAAATATTTCTGCTTGGAGAGTGGGGGGAATCGGTACCCCTGATGGGGAATCGGTTCCCTAAGTGTAAAATTCAAATATTTTGACCATTGAATAGTGGGGGAATCGGTACCCCTGGGGGGAATCAGTTCCCTCCGAGCATATTGGAATTTTCGGAGCCAAACCATTCAGGGGGAATCGGTACCCCCTTGGGGGGGAATCGGTTCCCTCTGAGCAATCTGGAATTTTTGGCTTTGAAATGGTTAGAAATATTTTGTAAAATCGTTTTAAAATTATTTTAAGATTAAAACTTAATTTTACACTTGAGTAAGGGTTTAAAATGAACTTTGAAATACTTTGAGTAATATTTTGATATTCGGTTTAATATATCGAATATGCTTAGAAAAATCATTTTTCAAAATTAAAATTCTTTTAATTTAATTTATTATATCGAAACATCAAAATGTTTTCAACACCCTTGTCATCAATCAATAACATGTTAGTATTAAGCGTATTATTATTATTCATGCCCATAATAATACTTCACTATGGATATTTTAATAATGTTATTATATGGATTTTATTATCTTTCAGTTTATGTTAAACACAGACACATAACTGAAAATAATAGTGGCAATGCCTTTATTCAATAAAATCGGTAATTAAATATATTATTACAATCATCATATGATTGGTCTTTGGGCATACTCTAACAATTAGTCCACCATTTTGCATGCATAAAATTCTTTAGAAGTATCCCAATAGTAGCTCAACTAAACATCAGCGAAGATTAAATCCAATCATGAACGAAGTGGTTAGAAAGGAGATTATCAAATAATTGGATGATGAAATTATATATCCAATTTCGAATAGCAATTAGGTTAGTCGTGTACAATACGTTCCAGAGAAAGGCGACATTATTATGGTGACAAATGATAAAAATTAATTAGTTCCGAAAAGAACTAGTACTGTTTGGAGGATATGTATAGACTATAAGAAGCTTAACAAAGCAACAAGGAAAGATCACCTTCTATTGTCATTCATAGACCAAATTCTAGATCGACTTACGATAATTCTTTTTATTGTTTCTTGGATGGATATAGTGGTTACAATCAAATTGCTATATCTATAGTGTACCATGAGAAAACAATGTTCACATGTTTGTATGTTACCTTTTCTTTTCGTAGAGTTCCATTTGGGTTATGTAATGTTCTAACGACATTTCAATGTTTTATGATAGCCATTTTTTTCGATATGATTGAAGTCTATCTTGAGGTTTTTATGAATGATTTTTCAATTTTTGGGAAAGACTTTGAGAAGTGTTTGAACAATTTGGTTGTAGTTTTTAGGAGATGTAAGGAGCCATATTTAGTTTTGAATTGGAAAAAATGTCACTTTATGGTCACAAAGGTATAGTGCTAAGGCACCAAATTTTTGGCCGCAACATTGAAGTAGATAAAGCAAAAAAGGAAGGTTATTGAAAAATTGCCACCTCCAAGTAATATGAAGGTAATTCGAAGCTTTCTTGGTCATGCTGGTTTCTATAGAAAATTTATCAAGGATTTTTCTCAAATTACTAAGCCATTATGTTCATTAGTGGAGAAAAACAAGATATTGTCATTGATGAAGAATTGCTTAAATATTTTAACATAATTAAGATGAAGCCAATAAATACCCCTGTTATAACAGTACCAAATTGGAATTTGTCCTTTGAATTAATGTGTGATTCTTCTAAGCTCGCCGTAGGAGTAGTGTTGGGGTAACAAAAAGATAAAATGTTTCACGTGACACATTATGCAACTAGGCCATTAAATGAAACCCAGGTTAACTACACTGCAATTGAAAATAGTTGCTTGTTGTAGTGTTTGCTTTTGATAAATTTTGTTCATATCTTGTGGGTACGAAAGTGATTGTCTATACTGATCACTCAATGTTGAAGCATTTATTTACCAAGAAGGATATAAAATCTTGTTTGATTTGATTGGTTCTTTTACTCCAGGAATTTGATATTGAGATTTGAGATAAGAAGGGATCTAAACATCAAGTGGAAAATCCCTTATCCAGGTTAGAATATGGCGCGATGATGTTAGCATTTTAGCAATTCTAGATGACTTTCCTAATGAACATTATATAGTCGCTACAGCATTACCGTGGTATGCTGATTTTGTCAACTATCTAGTTAATGGGATGATGCCACCCAATCTTAATTATCAAAGCCAAAGGAAATTTATGAGGGATGTAAAGCAATACCATTACAAGGATTTGTATTTATTCAAGCAATGTAATGATCAACTTATGCTGCGATGTATTCTCAATGTGACAACAAAGCAATTTACAAAATTGTCACAGTGCCTGTGTGGAGGACATTTTGGTGGTATGCGCACAACAGTGAAAGTGCTTCAGTGTGGATATTATTGGCCATCATTTTTTAAAGACGATAATGAATTTGTAAAGCATTGTGATCACTACCCATGAATAGGAAATATTTCTTCACGAAATGAAATGCTAATGTAACCTATTCTGGAGATCAAGCTATTTGGCGTATAGGGATTAGATTTTATGGGTCCCTATCCATTTTCCAATGGCACACTCTTTATTCTAGTAATTATAGATTATGTATCCAAATGGGTGGAAGCTTTAGAATTGCCAAACAACAATGCTAAAGTAGTTATGTGATTCTTGCACAAAACATTTTCATTTGTTTTGAAACTCCTCGTTATTTTATCAGTGATGAAGGGTCCCAATTTATAGATATGGAATGAAGCATAAGATTGCTACAACATATCATCCACAGTCTAATGGCCAAGTCGAGGTGTATAACCGAGAAATCAAGAAATTTCTTAAGAATATGGTGAACCCTTCTAGAAAAGAATGGTCACAACATCTTGAAAAAGCATTATGGGCTTATAGGACCATTTACAATACTCCATTAAGGATGTCCCCTTATCGTCTTGTTTATGGAAAAGCTTGTCATTTACCTGTGGAGTTAGAGCATAAAGCTATATGGGCATTAAAGAGGTTGAACTTTGATCTAGATATTGCAGACAAAAAACGAATACTAGAGCTTAATGATTTGGAGGAGCTTCGAAATAATGCATATGAGACTTCATACTTTTACAAAGAAAAGATTAAAAAGTAGCATGATCAAAATATTTTGCCAAGGGAACTCATTGTTGGACAACAAGTGTTGTTATTTAATTTTAGACTAAAGTTATTCCCTGAGAAATCGCATTCTCGTTGGTTAGGCCCTTTCAAAGTTCTTGAAGTTTTCCCTTATGGTGCAGTCTTACTAAAGAATTTAGTGGATGGAAACATATTTAAAGTCAATGATCAACGTTTAAAGAATTATTGTCAGCAACAAAGCCCTATAATTGCTTCAATCACACTAAGCGATCCCCATCTTTTTATATTTATTTCTACAATTTTGAATAGGTTAATTCTTTTGAAATTTATTTTTGTGTCCTTATTTCCATTATTTCTTTTTGCACATATATTTTGATTTTGATAATTATCAGTCAGTTATTTCATGTTGCACAACTCTTCCCATTATGGTGTACATCCATCATTGTACTGGAGCCACAACAATACAAGGATAACAAAATATTTTTGACGATAAAACTCAGTATGAGCTGTCCACTATTTACCCCTCTTTCATTTTTCATTGTCCACTATACCCAATCATAACTGCCCATTTAAACTCTACCCTATCCCTCTACCCTTGAATTTTAAATTTTAAAATTTGTTATCCGCTCTTTCACGTAAGCCATTTACTCTCATTTACTTTACCTTCATTTTCTTCACTAGTCTAAAACCATTCTTATCCTCTCTTTCATTTTTCTCATCTCTCTACAAACCACCATGGCACATAAAAAGAAGCCATATGGTGGTACGCCTACTATGCCTCCTATTATATCTACATTGTTGAAAGTTTCCCTATTGGAGGAAGTCATATCTTCATGGATAACGAACAACGACAGTGTTATGTAGAAGAATTTGATGGCTGATATTTTTTTATGAGCAAGGTTTCGATTTAACTACATAGGATGAGCCTTAAATCTTTGATTATATTTCTCAAATGATTACACAGCGAGGTTGGGGTAAGCTTTGTGAACATCTTGGCGACATCAACCTACATATAGTTTGGGAATTTTACAGCAATCTCACTAACCAGACCAAGTGATTAGTCTTTGTTCATGAAAAGTTGGTCCATTGGTGGGCAAAACCAATCAACAAATTGTTGGGTATCGCCAAGGAGCCATACAAACATTTGGAATTTGTAGAAAATATAATTGAGGAAGATGTGGAGCAAGTAGGATGTGATGTTTCCTTCTGCGTCATTCTTGTAGGAATCAACAACTAGAATTTGAACCATAAAGCAATTAGATCTCCATCGAGATGCAAGGGTGTGGTTTATTTTCCTTAGAACTCTTTTAATGCCAACCATGCACTTTTCCACAATTACTAAGGATCGAATCTTGCTTCTTCACTCTATTCTATTAGGGAGAACAATTGATATTGGTAAAATCATTTCTGCTGAAATATTTACTTGTGCTCAGAATACTCTAGGCTTTTTGTATTTTTCATCGTTAATCACTATATTGTGCTATCAAGCACAAGTGGTTACTTTTTCTTCTAATAATATTATAGATAATCAGAACCCAATCACTCATGTTGTTGTGATGAGGCAAACACTGTTGAAGGAATGGCTAGACCCTAATAAAGTACATGGAGAGCCTTCCACTCTATTACCATAGCACAACTCCCGAGAGTGGACGATCGAACTTTGGAATATCTGAAAATGTCTATAGCATCTATAAGTGCTAAACAGGATCAAATGATGGCATTGTTGAGCCATTCTTTTCAGAATCAATCCCAAATGCACAAAACCCAAGTTTAAATATTGGAAGTATGGATACTAAAGGGATCTAATGACCAAAACTATATTTGCCAAGTTATTTACATAGGCTAAAGCACTATTCCCTATCTTTTCAATGAAGATCTTGGAAGACTTGAGGCAGTCAGCCATGCCTGATATTGGCCATAGCTCAGCTAACACTGAGAGTGCGAATGTTGCACATCAAGGTGGTTAATAAGAAGCACTGCCCATGGATACCAAGTCAATGGAAGGTGAAGAGGAGGTCCAGGGTGAAGAAGAACAAGGAGATAGTGAAAAGAAAGATGAGTAAGATAAATCTACTGAATTTTTGCCTATGGATGTAGAAATTCAAGAAGATGAAGAGCATGTGAGCAGCGAGCTGCAAGAGAAGGCCAAAGATATAGTCGGTGCTCCAGCAGAGCATGTTGCATCTTAGTTACTAATTTTGAATGAAACCACAGCTGAAGTAGAATCCAGTGTTGTTGATGAATCAATAGTAGATGCAGCGATGGTGATACATAATGTTATCACTGCTATCGGGAAAACAGTTGTTGCAAGTCAATTAGAGAGCATTCCTGTCGCACGGGTTACCGGAGCTAATAGACCAGAACTAGAATCGGAGAAAAAGTTGGATGTGTAGCTTGAATAACTTCAGCCTCTGATGTTGTTGTGACAAAGGTCACGACAACGTCGGCCAATCAAAAGAGGAAGAGCTCGGTAAAGGCAAAAATAATAGCAAAACGTCTATGCCCAAATGTTCTTAGTCCGTGAAACCCCACTTAGGGGAGTCTTATTTCCCTGTCTCATATTTTACTTTATTTTTTTCTCGTTTTGTTGTTCATATTCCATGAATTAGGGATAATGCATCCCTTAGGTTTAGGGGTCTGTTGTTAGGTTAAATGTTGCATTTAAATGTTGTTAGGTTTGGGGGGTGTTGTTAGGTTTGGGGGTAATGCCATAGGTTAATTTTGAAGACATTAATGAAGTTGTTAAGGCAATTTTAATGTTACCCAATGATGAATATTAATTGAGATGAAATGTTATAGGAAATGTTGTATAATCTTTTTGAAATAAGGACCCCTAGAATTTTTAACACTTAGGTGTACATTCTCAATACTTAGAGAATTTATAAATTTTCAAGATGTAAATATATTATCTTTATTATATGTTATAGTAATTATTTCATCTAAAGAGAGAGAGAAATCATAAGGAATAAGATGGGTAATGCTGGTAATAGCTCCAACATAGTCTTAGGGAATAAGTTGGGTAATGGTGGTAATAGCTCCAAAATAGTGAGAGAAATAAGTCTCAATTCCAACATTGGTGAAGAAATGTTGCTCTAGAATTGAATACCTTAAATATATTTGGTGTGAATTTCTCTAACTTAGCAAAGTATTGATTGGATATACCTAAATTACACACACTACACTCTGAGGATTCCGGTTTTGATGAGATAAAATTGTATTTCCTTATTTGAGATTACATATATGCTTCATAGCATCAGTTGAGGGCTGAAAAAGAAACTTTTCTGCTTAGTTAATTTTTAAAGTTATTATGTGGCATTTCTATTAGAATAGATATTTCATGCATGTTTTGCTTGAGGACAAGCAAACACTTAGGTTTGAGAGTTTGATAACTCTCTGAAAGAGTTATTTTTAGTAGCAGTTTCTATCCAGGTTTAGTTTGAACTTGAGCATGTTTAGTAGAATTTTATGATTAAATTTACTTAATTTTATACATTTTGCATGAGAGCATCATTATGGGTTATGAAGGGCTAAAATTTATTTTTGCTGCTGAAAACTGTTAAACTAATGTCATAGCATTGCAGAAAATGTTGAGCGGATGTTGCAGCGGTCGTCTAAGCACCAGACGGTTAGGAGAATCTTTTGGAATGGGATAGTTGGCTAGGGTAGATGTAATTTAGCTGGATATCACCTTAAACATAGACATCTTTTATTTTGAGATCTAATTCTCATCCAAGCTATAAAAGGGGAGTAATTGAGCACAGAAAGTGTGATGATCGAGAGCCTTTCCAAGTACCCAAATTTCCACATTAAATCTTCAAACACCATGGAAGCCTAAGCCCACTACCAGGAATTGCTGCAGCATAAGAGAATCTTGTTGATTAGCATCAACAATAAGTGGATCATTGTTCAAGGACTTTTATTGAAAGAGAGTGATTTGAATGTTTAAGCATTTGTTGGATGATATTGTGAATTTCTTATTAGATGTTTATGTTGATAATTATTTTATGAGCTTGGTACTTTATGATTGTAAGTAGAAATACTTATAATTAAATATATATTATTTTTGATTAATTCTAAATATAGTTTCAGTTGATTTGCTATATACTTTTGTGAGCATTGGTGCTGGTGAGTAGCATAGTGTGCGTTAAAAAGTATGCAATCAATTTATTAGCACTGTTAATATTTTGAACCTTTAATTGATGAAAGTGGTTAAAGTAATTCAAAAGGTTTTAATCAATGATGATCACATAAATTGAGTGTACATTGTTTGCATGAGATCTGAAGTTCATAATATTTTATCATTTGATTTGATAGATGAATAAGTTCTTTCTGGAATATTGTATCATTAAATGGTGTTTTTCCTTATTAATTTTATTATCTTGTATTAGTGACTCTTATACTTGACATATCTTATTTTAACAAACTCTAATGATAACAATCTGCTCATTGTGGGTTCGACATTCGTAGCATCAATTGCTATCACTTTATTACTTAAGCGATACATATACTTGTTTTAAATTATATAGCATCTTACGTAGCATCAACAACCCTAGATTTTCAAAAAAAAATCATTTTCTTTTCAAAAACATTGAATGGTATCATAAATAAAACATAAATAATTGCTATAAAATATTTTACAAAACTGGAGCTTCGTGACACATAATTTAAAAACCAACTTAATACATAATCTAACTTTAATAAACCTAAGTAAGGTTCTATGAATACATATGCCCACTAACGCTATAGTATAATACTCTGTCGGAGATACTGGAAGTCCTGTTGCGACGGTGCTCCATGAACTGCCCAAGCTATCGACCTGCAAATGAAAATATCCGAACGCTGAGCTTACAAAGTCTACCAATATAATGGCTAATCTAGAGCAACATAAGGATTTCATAAACTTAAGCTTGCTAAAGACTTGGTACTAAGCAGTAAATGCATGCATAACCTAAATCAAGTGCTACCTACTTAAGGCTTTACTGCTCTTGTTGGAACTGTCGACACACCCTATGACAC